GAAACAACTACTCTTGAAATAACAAAGGTGATGTGTAGTGAAACGAGGGCGACCAAGTAAAAAAAAAATAAAGGAAAAAGTACTCACTCTCCAGTTGACGAGAAGGGCTAAGTACGTCTCTGCCCGAAATCATACCGCTCCAACAGAAAATGAAATCAGCTGATGCGCTACCGAGCAGGCGCAGGCAAACAAGGAAGGCAAAATGTTGCGCAAGGTCTAGGTATTGCATCCCGTCCAATCGATTTGGGAGAATAAATGGTCCAATGAGCATACCGTTCACCATGCCAGCCCAAACATTCACCGAAAATGTTTGTTGAAAATGTGCCCGACGGACAGCGTGCGGATTTTCTACTGACCAAACATGAGTGTTGCGAAAGTTATTCACCCCATTACGCGTGAACGTAGATTCGTCTGCCATCAATATGCACTTCAAAAAGTCCGGATTATTGTCATGTTGATGCAACAACCACTCACAAAACCGAACTCTTGCTGGAAAATCGTCAGGTTGAAGGGCTTGTACACGTTGGACGTGAAACGGATACAGCCCCTCTTCACGCAGTGTTTGCCACACTTTAGTTTTTGATACTTGCACTTCTCTAGCCACGTCTCTAGTGCTTGTTGAGGGATTCTCGTCTACGCGATTACCTCTAGACGCGTGACCGTAACCGTCGGTTGAAGGTTGCATACTGACCTGACACACAGTTCTGTCGTCGGGTTGAGCTAGTGTCCTAGTACCAGTCGGGGATGTCGCGGCTACAGGACGGTATTCAGATATTTTTGATGTTGCAGGGCCCTTTATCTCGGTTCCCTTAAAACATTGGTATATATAAGAAAAATTGCTTATGTTTTCAAGATCTACACGTCGTGTAAAGGAAAACCCCAACTTTGCGGACACCCTGTATATTTTCCGACAGTCGAAAAGCCAAGATTCAGTGTGAAGATTTTCTGTGAGATAACATTTCTTTATGTTCAACATAACCTTCAAAATCCACTGCTGCGTAATTTCAGTTTTTTATAATAATTAATCATGACTCTCCCTAATGCTAAGAACACATAAAATAACGATTGAACAAGGGCATGACATATCATGTGTAGATATTTTTCGCTTAAAAAACTGCTGATATATTTGATTTTCGGAATTAATGTATCTTAATTTTCTTATTAAATGTTCAACCTGTATATTCCATCTTAGATGGTTATCTATAAATACCACTAAATATTTAAAATTATAACTGCTTGTATGCTTTTGCAGCTATTCGTTGTTTTAATTTGGAGATGATTGAAATTCGGAAGATCTTTTGTCGCAAGAAAATGAAATGTTTTGTTGAAATTGGCTGTGACAATCCTTTCAGTGAAAAAGTGTCTACCTTTTGAAAATATAATACAATTTTTGCAATCATAATTAAAAACTCTATTCGTCTGTGCAAAAATCCAATATGGCGTCCATAAGAAAAAACAAAATTAATGTTGGAAGATAATAGGCGTACGGTCTGACCTTGACCATTTCCATTAGTTAGATATAAAAATATTACTAGAGTTGTAAGTGTTGACAAATATCTAAACCTAGTTATGTAATGTACTATTAGAATTCAAAGAATTCAATAATAACCAAATGAACTTTAAGCTTCTTCAATTACCAGCTATTAAATAACAATTTCATATTCGGAACTTTATTATTATAATCGACCTTAATAGTAACAGGACAACGTGCCTGCCTCGCGCATGTTTTTGTCGTGTTGTGACTTCAAAAGAACTCGCCGTATTTACTGTTTCAATGAGATTAGTGTTAGGAAATAGTAATTTAGGTAGGCATACGTGACTTGGAATACATTATATACCTATAGCATTTGAATTTTTGAATTACAAATATCACCACATCCTATTCTGTATGATAATGAGAAGTAAATAGCTGATGTGGTTAAGAGGACTTATAAGAATTTCGGTTTTGGGCGATGGTACTCGGAATTACTCCATGATTCATTGAGGCCAATATAGCACCGACTGGTTTATTTGTCTAAATACTATTTTAGACTACACAATTTCTTGTACAAGATTTGGTTCAATTTCTTGTTCAAGATAATACATTTTGTAGTATCTTACAACAAATTAGTCGAAAACTCAAACTGAATAAGAAATTGTTTGGAATATGAAACATGTTCTATTTTTCATTCCATTTAACCTCACTTGTTTGTTTTTGTTGTGCGCGTCGTCGTTGGGTAGTGGATGTTCGATTTTCGTTAATTACACTGATCAACAGCCAAAAAATATCCTAAATAAAATCAACAAAATATTACTATTTTTAATGTGCTAAAACAGGAATGAAACTTATTTTTTCAATATTAGTTCAAGTTTTAGAGATACGGTAATTATATGTGTTCCTGCTGTGACAGTGTTAATATACTGTAATTCACAAGAATGCACGTGCTACATTTTTATATTCGGCAAGGAAAGATGATGTAATCGGCATGATTGTGTTACGTTATACATACGTGTACATTATATTGTTTTATATTAGCCATTTTTTCCTCAATTGGCTGACAGCGTTCATGCAAGATGTCTCGAAAGTGTGTAAACAATCCAGTGTGTGGTGATGTGACTTTTGCGTCTCAGAGACGGTCTATTACTCCACTAATAACAAAGGCATATCAGCTTTATTTCGGTTGTAAACTAGGTGATCAAGACAAACAGTGGGCACCCCACATCTGCTGTAATACATGTGCTTCAAGTCTGAGGAGCTGGTTAAATGGCAAAAAACGGTCTATGCGCTTTGCTGTCCCAATGGTTTGGAGAGAGCCTACAAATCATATTAATGATTGTTACTTTTGCATGGTACCTTGTGTTGGACAAGCCACAGGTATGTCCAAGAAAAAAAAATCGGTTATTAACTACCCAAACATACCATCTGCGATGAGACCTGTGCCTCACCTTGACGAAAATCCTGTTCCAAAACCCCCAGAATCCTACACTTGCGAATCAGAAAACGAATCAGATCATGGCGATCGAGTGATTCGTCAGGAAGAAGATATGCCATCAACGTCAAGAGATCCTGATTTTATATCGAGCACGTCATGCCACCAACCGCACAAAATAACACAGTCAGAATTAAATGATCTTGTAAGAGATTTAGAACTTCCAAAATGTAAGGCAGAGTTACTTGGATCAAGACTGCAGCAGTGGAACTTGTTAGAAGACGATGTTTTGGTATGTGTTTTTCGTAAACGCCACAAAGACTTAGAACCATTTTTCAATATGGAGAATAACTTGGTTTTCTGCAGTAACATTAACGGCTTACTGGCGGCTTTAAATATAAACTATAACCCAGAAGAATGGAGATTGTTTATGGACAGTTCAACATTGAGTTTAAAGGCAGTGTTATTGCATATTGGAAATATTTTACCATCTCTTCCTGTAGGGTATGCAGTTCACATGAAAGAATCATATGACAATATGAAGTACCTATTGACATGCATAAAATACGATGAGCACCAATGGCATATTTGTGGCGATTTGTAAGTTGTTGCACTTTTACTTGGGCTGCAGCTAGGCTACACAAAGTTTTGCTGTTTTTTGTGTGAATGGGACAGTCGGGCAAAGGCACTTCATTACACCAGACAAAACTGGCCTGTTCGTCAATTCCTAGAACCAGGTCAAAAAAATGTACAGCATATGCCATTAGTAGATTCGAAAAAAAATTTATTACCACCACTGCATATCAAGTTGGGCCTAATGAAAAACTTTGTCAAGGCATTAGATAGAGATGGGTCAGCTTTTCAATACCTGCGTCAGAAATTTCCAAGACTAAGTGAGGCAAAGGTTAAAGAAGGTATTTTTGTTGGGCCACAGATACGAAATATTTTGAAAGATACACAGTTTGAAAACACTTTAACAGGTATTGAAAAAACTGCTTGGAATGATTTCCGTCTGGTGGTCACTAATTTCTTGGGAAATAGAAAAGCTGACAACTATAAAACCCTTGTCAAAAATATGCTGTCATCGTATCAAAAGATGGGCTGTAATATGTCTCTTAAGATACATTTCCTACACTCACACCTGGACTTTTTTCCTGACAATTGCGGAGCCGTAAGTGATGAGCACGGCGAACGTTTTCATCAGGATATTTCAACAATGGAAAAAAGGTACCAGGGAAAGTGGAATCCTTCCATGCTGTTGGACTCTTGGTAGAGATGCTCCAGAAACGATCCATAAAAGAACAGCAAAAAGACAGCGCATATAGTGATTCTTATATGATATGATTCATATGAATCTTGTTACTTTTTTTAATATATCCTTAAAAATAAAAAGTTTTTTTTCTAAACCGCAACTAATTTTTTTATTCCATTGTCATTTTTGGATTCAGCGCCCCAAAATTAACAGAGAAGTGCACTTTTCCCACAAGATACAATTAAAAAACTAAAATTTGTTGTCCAGTGTAATCAGCTTTTTTTTAAACAGGTAAAAAAATATTATTAAGACTCGACCCTGTCTTTGTAACGACTGATATACATTTAGGGATGTCTTGGTCCAGTGAGCAAGATGATGGGATCTTATCACCAATCACAGAAAGACCTGGTCTTTCTGAAAACCCTGACATCCTACAAAGGCCATGCACAAATGACACGCACAAGCGAGCAACATCATCTGCAAGAAGCGGTAGCAGCACACCCGCAAGAAAAAAGATGCCCAAAAATGTCTCTGTTAGCCTTGTCAGGTTGTCTGCAGCTCTGCAGGAAGGCGGAACTGCAGATCTCATGAGTGTTCGTGGCAGCTCAATTGAAAAAATCACGAATGATGATATTAAGCAAGATGTTTATTTAGAGATACAGATATTGTTAAGAGATGCAATAAAAAAGACAAAATTTATGTACATCTTTATTCAATTCATATAAGAGAGATGTCTTTTAAGTTTTGTTTATAAAAACATAGTAGGCCGCGCGGATTGAATGTCAGTACTGAATCTTAACCTCACTATTTAGTAAACTTAAATTCAAGTCATTAGAAAAATGGAACTCAACCGAAAACATTTTCGCGCCATAATTTATTACCACTTCCAGAGACAATTATCGCAACAAGAATGCCTTGCTGAGTTACTGTCTGTTTTCGGCAACGAAGCGCCACATCAATCGACAATTTCTCGTTGAATGGGGAATTCAAACGTGGACGGGTGAGTTTTAGCGACGATCCCAGGGTGGGTGCACCAAAAACGCCAGTCACCCAGGAAAACGTCGATGCTGTGCGCAAACTCATCATTGAAGATAAACATGTGACATATCGCGAGATTGAGGCGTCCTTGAAGATCTCAAAGACCTCAATTCAAAAAAGTTTACATGAAGAATTAGGAGTAAGAAAATTAGTTTCTCGTTGGATACTCCACATGTTGACTGAAGAGCAGAAAGCAGCCAAGGTTAATTGGTGTCAAAAAACGCTTGACCGTTTCAATTCCGGAAACTCAAAAAATGTGGACAGCATTGTTAGTGGTGATGAATCGTGGATTTACTGTTATGAACCAGAAAATAAACGACAGTCGGCTGTTTGGGTGTTCCAATGTGAAGAAAAGCCAACAAAAGTCATCCGTTCTTGAAGTGTTTCGAAAAAGATGGTCGCGACATTTGTATCAAAAGCGAATCTTATTGCAACAATTCCTCTTAATGAGCAAAGAACTGTTACCGCGGATTGGTATACCACCATTTGTTTGCCAAAAGTCACCACCGAGCTTCGAAAAATCAACCCCGAAAGAAGAATCATCCTCCACCAAGACAATGCAAGCTCGCACGCAGCCCAATTAACAAGGCAGTATTTAACGGAAGAAAACGTGGAATTATTGGACCATCCTCCATATAGTCCTAACGATTCCTTTACTTTCCCGAAAATTAAAAACAGACTGCGTGATCAAAGGTTCCAGTCACCAGAAGAAGCAGTTGACGCATTCAAAAATGCCGTTTTGGATCTGCCAGAAAACGAGTGGAATAAGTGCTTCGAAAATTGGTTCGCGCGCATGCAGATGTGTATTAATCTTCGTGGAAAATACTTTGAAAAACAATAAAGTCATTTAAAACTACCTACCGTGATGTTTTATTTCCATATGCAAAACTTAAAAGACATCCCTCGTAGCCCTATTTTGAAAATATACTTCTCCAGTAGTACTGAAATATTGCATAATAGGTTTCTAATGTCAACAGCTTCAGAAGCATATCTTGTTCCTCCTTGAGAAAGACGATATTAGTTACAGTTTTCATTATCCATTTCTGTATAATGCTTACTATGTGTTGTGAGAAAATTATGCAGAACACAACATGCTAGTGTCATTGTCTCAACCTTTTATGGATCTAAGTTTATTGTTCCTCTGAGAATTCTAAATCTACGATTCCAAAAGCATGCTCAACAGTTCTTGCTCTTGATAGATGATAGTTGAAAATTTGTTTTTCATCGGATAATCAACATTGAGGATAAGGCTTAATAGTTCTATTAGTCAGTGGGAAGGCATCATCACAGACTATTTATTACATATGGAATATTGATATTACTGTTTGGCAGAAATGAATCTTCTGAAAAGTTCAGAATGTTTCCGTCAATTCCCTTTTGAGATTGCTTTCTCTAAAGACACCCTCATCACTAATCCCTACTACTCTATTAGTTTTGAGAGAACTATAATAAAAAGAGCATGCACTTTTAGGAGCCCCAAAATCAACATATTTGTCATCTAGCTGCCACTATTAACGAGATGTATTCGTGCCAGATTAAGTCCTCGGTGATCTGAACTCCGACCAGCCGAAACGAACGGCTCTTCGGTAGAACTCGGCCATACATCGAAACCGGATGAGCGCTAGGACGCTTCTTGTTCGTCAAGATACAGTACTGTGTTTTGGAAGCATTAAACTGTACACTCTGAGTTTCTGTATTTAGAGTGCTATCATCAGCAAAGCTGTGGATTGGATTGACCATACAAGAAAAGAGGTCGTTGATACGTGAAAGGAACAATGTCGGAGCCAAGACTGATCCCTGGGGAACACCCGCGTTGACGTTTTGGGGAGGAATGAGAACCTGTCAATTACGTCGGATACCTTGCCACCAGAGAGGAAGTCAGTCACCCATCTGCAAAGCTGCACTGGGAGGCAATAGGATGGAAGTTTGCATAAGAGGGCAGCGTGCCACAGCTGATCGAATGATTTCGTGATATCAAGAGCAACGACATAAGGCTGGATGATTTTACGTAATCTAGGAGGTCTCCTGTGGATCGCTGATGCTGGAAAGCATACTGGAAGCTGCTTAAACCTGAGGCCTATTTATTACGTTCTTATTCATTTTTGGTAGATTAAAGGAGGAACATTTTGAATAGCATTTCATATGCCTCAGTTGTAAGCAAATTATACAATTGGCAACCAGTACTTAATGAACATTTTATGGAGCCACTTAATGTTGAAGAGAAAACGAGTGCCTTACTTGACATATTGTCGTATCTACAGTTAATGCAATTTAATAAAATTTACAATTCAAATAACCGTTTATTAGACTTGATACTTAGTAACGACTGTTCAATATATAATATTTCGAATTCGGTTGACATATTGGTTCCTGAGGATAATCACCATCCTGCAATTACGTTTTGTTTTAAGCATGTTTTACTTAAGCCATTAATGCACCAGAGCCGATGCCTTTACAACTTTAATAAAGCTGACTATACTTCCATAAATAATACTCTTTTAGATATATAATGGGAAAAATTATTTAGTACCAAATCTGTAGAAGACGCTGTAGCCATATTCTATAACATACTCAATGAAACTATTCACAAATTTACACCAACATATGAAATTCGAGGAAAATACCCAATATACTTTAAACTTGAAACAATACAAACAGTTAAGAGAAAAAATAAGTATCATAGACTATACAAACGTTTTAATGATCCATACTCATCAGATATTCTGTGACCTTAGAGCCAAATCAAAAATCTTAATTAAGGAAAACCTGGATGAATACATAACAATGATGGAAAACAATATATTGAACGACAGCCGACACGTTTGGAAATACGTTTCAAGTAAGAAAAAATGTCATGTCTCTATACCTCTAAGTTAAAACCGGAAGTGGGGTGTGTAATGCCTTTGCTGATTTCTTTGCAAGTGTATATGTTAAATCTAAACATTTTTATTTAAACAAGGATGCTAGTCCTATAGATGTTACCTTAATATCCATTGAAAAAATATATCAACAAATAGTGTCCTTATAAATTAAAAAATCAGTAGGCCCTCACGGCATACCTCCTGTATTTATAAAAAACCGTTCCGCTAGCTTATGTTTACCACTTCACCTAATTTTCAAACTATCATTAACTCAAAGAGTCTTTCCAACGAGATGGAAAGAAGGTGAAATATTGCCTATTCATAAAGGAGGCGATAGACATCTTGTGGAAAATTATCGACCTATCACTAAACTTTGTATTTTCTCAAAAAATTTTGAAAAGCTGATTTATGATGCTATCTTAAACATTACAAAAAATATCATTACGGAACACCAGCATGGATTTTTCCCTAAAAGATCTGTAGAGACAAATTTGATGAGTTTTATAGAATATGCCTCTCACGCAATAGATGAGAAACTGCAGGTGGATGTTATTTATACCGACTTCAGTAAGGCTTTCGACAAGATTGATCATTCTATCTTGATGGAGAGACTTGCTGAGGTGGGTGTAGATGGTCCATTATGGCAGTGGCTAGAATCGTATATAAGTAATCGTAAACAAGTGGTGACTATCAATGGGTATCGTTCGGAGACATTCTTAGTAACTTCAGGCGTACCACAAGGTAGTCACTTAGGACCATTGCTATTTCACATATACATGAACAACCTTACTTCTGTTTTTCATTTCAGTAAATATTTGTTATATGCTGATGATCTAAATATATTTACTATTGTTAGAAATGTAAATGACGGTGTAAAACTTCAAAGCGATTTGGAATCTCTGCAAAAGTATTGCACTGAAAACAGTATCTTCCTGAATTTAACAAAATGTCATTACATGAGGCTTACTAGAAAGATAGCGAACACTATAGATTTCAGATATAAAATAGGGACGGCAGAACTGGAAAAGCTTCATGTAGTAAAAGACCTAGGGGTATACATTGATGAGAAACTCTCATTCATCACTCACGTAGAGCACATCGTAAATGATGCAAATAGAACACTAGGGTTCATAAACCGGACATGCCGAGAATTTACGAACCCAAAAACGCTTCTTTCATTGTACTACGCTTATATACACAACAAATTGATGTTTGCATCAGTAATATGGAATCCGTCTTACAATGTACATATAGCCAGGATAGAAAGAATTCAACACAAATTTTTGAAGATGTTAGCACATAAAACTCACCAACCTGTTACAGATCATCATTATACGCAAATTATGAAACAGTTCAATATGATTCCCTTAAAAGATAGAAGAACGATTTCTGACATTTGCTGTGTTCATAAATTGTTGAATGGCCTTACTGACTGTCCGGATCTTTTGGCAAACTTGAACTTTAACACTCCTGATAGAACGTTTAGAACCTATCATCTGTTTAGAATACCGTTCCGTAGAACTAATCTTGGTCTTAATTCCCCTTTGGTCAGGGCTCAAAAAAATCATAATAATTTCTGTAATATAGATTTATTTAATATTAGCTTGACCTTCCTGAAAAAGGCTTTAAAGTATGAGTATTACAGCTCTATGGCAGACTAAAATAGAAATTTTTTATTTTTTTACATAACTCAAGTTATCACCTCCAATATCATTTCTGGTATAATTTCAATTTAATTTTTATTTCAGTTTTAATTAAACGTAAGTAAATGTTAAATTATGTATACTCCTTTCATTAAAAAAGTTAAATTAATAGTCTATTGCTTATAATTAGAACTACTCACTCAGTTTATATTGTTACAACAATATCGGAAGATAAAAAAAAATATCAATGTTGAAGTATTCAATAATGTAATATATGTATATGTATACGATATTTTATGTAAGTTTAGTTTTAGTTCACTGAGGGTGTGGGTTGGGTTTACCTGTTAACACCCCAAACTGTATATAAATAAATAAATAAATAAATAAATAGCATCCCGAATAATGGTCTTCAGCTACTCTATAATGCTTGGTTTGTTGGCGAGAACCTTTTTTGAAATCCCCACAGAAAGAATTGTAGAGTCGTTGGAGCCGGTAATCCCGGTCTTCAGAAGATATCGCCTGATGGTGGGATCAAACGACCTGAAATTTTTGTTCGCAAAACGTTTGTCGTGTCTCTAGCAGTGTAACATGTCACTTCATCTTGCTGGAACCACATTTCTTGTAAAGAACCGGATTCCAGGAACTACAAACTTTTGCGTTATATTTTGGTATAGCTCGTCTGTGCCAGTAAAGGAAATCCCTACATTATGATGATGAAAAACTTTGGGACTTGTGAGAAAGGTGGTTCTACAGTGCAGAATAACGGTTATGCTGCTAATAATAGTAACAGTAATATTGTTTATTCATCAGAAAAATTATCAGAAATCCATTCATTCTGATGATGATGATGACTAAAAACTTTGAGACTTGTGAGAAATGTGTTTCTACATGACGTAGCAACATGTCATGCATCTAATAATACTAGTAATAATAATACTGTTTATTCTTCAGAACAATTATCAGGGACAATTCATATAGCTTGTCAACAGTGGCAGATGCAGGGGGTCTGGACCCCCAAAAAATCCGAGTTAAAAAATGCCTCTTCCCCCCCGCTCCTTGACCCCAAAAAAATTTCAGCCCCTGCTTGTGTTGTATGAGTTTGTGTTCTCTAAGTGTCTGTGCTTTGGCAAGTGACAGTTGTGCTGTGTGGCGCGGACAGCAACAAGGACGGTCCAGCTTCACAGAAGATAATAAAACGTCGTGTAAATTCTGGATCAAATTTGGTTTTCTTTGTATGCTTTGGACTATTTGAAATTCATTAAAATAGAAGCAAAATACAGCATCTTCCTCATCAGGGTTGCGACGATTTAAATCAATTAATTTTTCCATTTTTGCCG